AACCATTTCAATTAGTGCAAAACTGAGACGCACTGAGCTGCATCTGGTAGAGCATACGTTAAGAATCAAACCAACATCTTCCAGGAGGGCCTGAGAAAGACCACGCTCGCCTAGAGCCGATATTAAGCTTTCCATCTGTCTTCAAACGCGCACAAGCCGCACTCTCTGGTCTTCATTCACAGTAGGAAGAGTGGCTGACAGCTGAGCTTTGACATGGCTTAGCGCTGTGTTAACCTTGAAGACAAAACAACCAAAACTCAATTAAAGCATTGGGGAATAGGTGAAGAAAAGTGTTGGGAGTTCACATAGTTTTTAAACCTGCCCTGTTTGAACAGACACATATCTCAGACCCCAACACGCCAGGTAGAGAGGAGGGGACGGGCCAGTGGTAACACAAATACGCACTTACATTGCCTCACCAAGCCTAGCAGAACCACGACGAGGTTTTCGACCCAAGCCATGCACACACGTTCACACAAAAACAAACTGGCTCCTCACACAAACCGCTGGATTAAATTCAGGTGCGAGGTCCTGTTTGGTTTGGATAGGCCCCAGCGCAAGAACAAAGTATGTCTGTCCACACTGAACCCAGTTAACAGCTTTTTCTTTTTTTTTCTTTTTTATGAAATGCTGCCACTCTGAGATGTCAATCAGTTCTTCTCTTCTTTCCCCACCCTCATGACCCAATGTAGATCTAACCAGATGCAGGCTCTGAAAACACACTTCCCAGAGAGCTGAACACACAAAGATGTTTGACTGAGGAGATTCCTTAACATACCTCCCAAAGCTCTGCCTCATGCGTAACCAGAGACCTACGTTTTCAGCAAAACACAAAAGCCTCAAACAAGGCATCTGAAAACAGTTGAAGACATACTGACAGCAGTGTTAGGGACGACAAAGACTGACAGAGCTGTTAAATCATCTTTACATAAGAGGTAGAAATTGAAGATATTTTTAAAAGAGCCGAAGATCACATATACTTTTTTTGCCCAATGAATTTCCATCTTTCCAGTCATTTGAAATAATTATTTTTTGATTCTGTCCGAGCCAGCTTGACAGATTCATAAGAAAAAACTTATGTTTTGGACGTTTCCGTGATCTTTAGTTATTTTGAAAATGGAATAACTGTTTTTAAATCCTTGTGATCCAATCCAATTAACTAACGAATGATTCAGAGATAAATCAGTCTACATATTTGACAGATTCATTGAAGCACTTGTAGAAAGATATATATTCCCATTAAAGGTTTGGGGGTCAGTAAAATTTTGAAAGAAGTATCTTATGCTTACCAGGGGTGCCTTTATTTGAACAAAAATACTTAACACTACAAAATATAATTACAACTTACAATAACCGTTTCTATTTTAAAACATTTTAAAATGTATTATTAAATATTTAATTTATATAATAAATATTTAATATTCAATATTTAATTTATTCCTGTGATGGCAAAGCTGAATTTTCAGCATCACTACTCCAGGCTTCAATGTCACATGATCCTCCAGAAATCATTTTAATGTCCTGATTTGCTGCTCAAGAAACATTTCAACAGTTGTGCTGCTTATTATATTTCAGGATTCGTTGATGAATAGAAAATTCAAAAGAACAGAATTTATTTGAAAATATTTTGTACATTATAAATGTCTGTCACATTTAATCAATTGAATGCATCCCGAAAAAAGTATTCATTTCTTTAAAATAATAAACGGATCCCAAACTTTTGAACTGTAGTGTATATTCACCATTGATTATTTTCTTGACTTTTTCAGGATATTTCCAGTCATTTTTTATTACTGAATAGGTGTTTTCATTACGATTCAGACTGGTTTGCTAAGGAATCAAATCAGATCAATGTGGGAAGTGATTTGACAGATTAAAGAATAGACTACAAAGAATATAAACAACAAACGTCTATACAAGCTTCATATCTGGTCAACTAAATATTTTATAGTAGAGAATTACTAGATCACTACAGAATATTCCATGACTTTTCCAGGAAGTAAAAAAATATATATATTTACAATTCCCTGATGATTCCGGGTTGGCACAACCTTGTGAACTACATAAGAATTATTTAAAACTTGCTTTGCTCCACTAAAAACATTGTGCATGAATTGAAAAAGCGTTTTGGCAGCAAATAAGATGATGCAGTTTCCTGGCAGTGGGCTGACACTTTAACGACTAATTCTGACACTTTTCTCACCTACACTCTGCACCATTTTTCCTTTACCTCAGGTGAAGCCTGAAGACCAGGTCTTGAGTCAGTAAACACCTGTCAAACTGAACATGAGCTACACCCACACACACTGCAATACTGGACTCACCCACTAAAGTCATGAGAAAAACACACTTATTTTACTTTTCTTTCAAAGGTTTTCTTTGCTACGAGTGTGAACAGCCATAAGACGAGAAAGATAAAGATAATTGGTGACTTTCTCAGCAGAGGGAAAAGTCATATATAAAAGATGGAAAAATTAAAGCTAGATCAGACATGATCAGAATGAGTACATGTGTTTAGCAGAGCGCATAACTTTTCCTTTTTCCCACGCGAAATTGGACTCAGCTATCAATCATCGTCAATCAGCTTCCTGTCAGTCAATACTTACACCTTCATTCACTCTCTTCCGTTTTACCCTGAGGGAACAGTCTCAGCAGGCTCATTAAAAAGAGAAGGCTGGAGTGACATCACTGGTGCTTTTTCTTTACACAACCTAAACCTGATTCTAAACAATCAAAATATTTTTTTAACCAATAGATTGCTTATTTCTGTTCTGAACATGCAATAAACAGTGTAAAAAGAAGAGTATTTACTATATCTATGTAACCAACAGACTGGTCCCTGTGTGAACAAACATTCAAATGTAACTTATAATTAAAAATTAAAGTACAACCTAACATATGCATATTCCTGCAGGCGACCTGAAAAACAGTTTTGATAAACACTGATAGAATACAATAATAAAAATGGTTTATTGCTGGTTTAAATGTTTGGACTTGAGAAACAGAGGAAAGTGCACCAAGGAGAGTGACAGTTTCCTTAATATCTGGGGGTTTGTATGATGTTTTCTCTCACAGCTGGGTAAAATGGTAAAATGTGCCCTCTGGGACCTTTAAGTAGTTGGGAAGCCTGAACACACTCCACCTATGTCTCAGTGATTGACAGTTAACTATATAAAGCTAAACTTTAGAGGTCCCACCCACTTTGACTAAATGGCATGTCATGGAAATACAAGCAACAAAAGAGGGCGATGTGCAATCACAAGTAATGTGAAGGTGAAATCTTTAAGTGAGCAACTTCAATTTAACAGTAAAAGTTCCCACACATTTCACAGTATTACTTCTCTTTTAGCATTTTACATTTCATGTGGGAATGCACAATATATCTGTCCATGTTTGTTAGGTTTTTTTTCTGTATTGGTCTAGGTTTTAAATACTGTACATTATTACATATTTAATTGTACATGCTCATTTCCCGTATGTTTATATTAAAAAGCCTTTTCTGTAAACTAAATATATATTTATAAATACACTAATAAATATTCCTAAAATAAATACATTTTTCACCATTTGTAGCACATTAGAAATTTTATATCAGCAAAACCATTAATTTAAGTGCTAAAAGACAAATAAATGAACTTCAACATTTTATTTTTTAAAGTAAAAACTTTTATTTTTAAAGTATTTTTTATTTGAAACCCAAATTAAACAATTTAAAACAATTTTTCCTGGCACAGTAAAATAACCTCATATCCATGATTGAGGGAAGCGTGTATATAATAACTCCTGTCAATGCTTATAGTGCTTACGGCTCTACTTTAGATACGAAATAAGATCACTGTCCATGGCCCAGTGTATTTGTCTTCTCAACACAGATATACATACAGTAAACTCTCTCTCTCACACACACACATACTCACGCACTCTCTCTTATCACTCAGCATGTCAGTGTGGTGGAGAGGCATCTTGTGTTGCTCAGATTATGTGGCAGGGTAAATAAACGCTAAGTGCTGACAGACGTGCAGGGGGTCGCTGTGATGCACACTAGACAACACTCACACTGTGCAAGGGGCAAGGTGAAGTGACCCTGATCCTCTGCTAACTTAATACTTTGAGCATCAGCACATGTGCATGTTTTTTTGGCAGTGAGAAGTGATGCATGATATTGATCATTTGATGTTCTTTCCTCTCATTATTTGGGAAATGGCTGAAAGAAGGTTGCAGTGGAAAATAAGGGTTTTATTTTTATTTATTTTAAAATGTTATTTATTCCTGTGATGGCAAAGCTGAAATTCAGCATCATTACTCCAGTCCTTAGTCACATGATCCTTCAAAAAGCATTCTAATATGCTGATTTGCTGATTAAGAAACATGTCTTAATTATGTCAATGTTGAAATCAGTTGTGCCGCTTAATATTTTTGTGGAAACTGTTAGAGCAACAAGATGTTCTGCAGAGTTAAATATCTTGAGTTAAAAAAGAGCAGCAGAGGGCAGGAGAGAGAAATCAAGTATGCAGGACAGCTAGTGAAAAAACGAAAGATGAAAAGTAAGAGTGAAAAGAAGAAGAAAAAAAAAAAACCTCAAATCAGGCCCAGCCTTGAGTCAACAAATGATGCTACTGGGAATCATAGTAGAATTAATTTCATGAGAAAAATGGATTACTCATAATATGAGACTGCAAAAGCAAACAGTCAGAGACAGGATTAGCTCACTAGTCCAGCTGACTTCTGTTTAAAACTGCTATTACTCAAAACTAAAAATCAGAGCCTGGCTTAGAAAGTTGGGAATGCGCCTACAATCACTTCGAACATTTGACTGCATCAAGAGCAGAGAGCCAGGTACAACATCATGTACACAGTATTATGTGAAAGGACACTCAGCTATTGACAGTGCATTTAATAAAGTCACAATAAACATTACAGCAATAAAAACATTTAAATAGTGAACTAACAATCCATTATTTTATTATAAAGCATGCTTTTGAAGAGGATATGTGACTCACCTGGTAGGTGCCAATACCAATATGTTTGGGGTCAATTTTAATAAGCTCTGCTAAAGGGTCCTGAACACGCCTCCCAATAGACACTGAGGACAAAGAAAAGAATACAGGAAGAAAATGATCTCACCATTATGTGCAGCTAATGCTCAAATATAATAATGAATGCCTCAAGAGAACAGCAATATTTACACTTTAATAAACCCACAGACTCAATTATGAACAAATTAAGCACACATAAGCATACATCTATGCCAATTAGAGTATTTAAATCATGCAAAGGCCTGTGTGGAACATACTGCACTAATTACTTCACAGATTATATTAATAAACAAGATTTGCATTTACTGAAATATCAGGGCTTGCAACACACAACTGTGCTTGCAGTTTAAATGAGACCATATATGGTTAACTAGATGTGATAAAGGTAGGCCAATCACAAATGATTATGCAAATAGATGCTATCAGAAATGAATATACGAATTTGAACTTTTATCCATTATTGTTGAGGATGTTGTCAATTATATTCAGTTATCAAGATGCTTTTTTTTTATCTTAAACCAACAGAATCATAGTTGTTTTTTGGCTTTTAGTATGAATATGTTTGCCTTCCGTTTATTACAAAAATTTAATTTTGAAGATATAAGCATACTCTTACTTCCGCCAATACCAATGATTTTGATGACATCACTTGCACTTCAGCAACTCTTCAGATTTTCTATCCAATCAAATGCTCTCTAGAATCTGAAGCGTTCCGCACACTACATTATAAATAGATACTGAAGCTGTGGCTAAAATCAGGTCACTTGTTCACACATTTATTATTTTCTACATGGTATATTGCACATAGTGTGCTATACAAGGGATAGGGAACAATTGAGACAGTGTAAATATGCTTTCCATCGGGATGAAATGGCGAATGATATCTGGTTTCATGTTAGTGTCATGCGAACCGCAGTAGAGCGCACACAGTTTGCTCCGGTCCAAAGACCTGACAGAACAGAGCGGATCATATGAGTGAGTCGACGCAGACCACAAATCACATCAGACCCATTTGAATTCTGCCCAGAATGCTATATTTTAAAGCAATATGGAGAAGATTAGGAGAAACGGTTAGAGATTAGGAGGAATCCCCCTTTCCTAGTAAATTGTCAAACACAGGCAATGACATGGGCCAACTAAGAGAGGTCAGGTCAAATAAGAATTCAATTAAAGACAAATAAAAACTCATTTCAGAAAAACTAGAATCTAACTTATCCTAGGAAATGTGACCTGCCAAACAAAATATTATAAAATGAAAGGAACATAAGCAGTTTGGCACACTTGTTCCATTAGCTTTATCAAGTCTTGCTGAAGGTCAGCAAATGAAAGTAAGATTTTCATCTTTACTCAACCATGTGTGCGAGAATCAGAGGGCGAGAAAGAAAGAGAGAGCGACCGACTCAGACAGAAAACACAAGACAGAATGTGAGACATTGCGTGGTTTTCTGCCCAAGCACAACCTCCACATTACGGAGTCAGAGAGTGGAGAGAAGTGCTTTTGTGTGCGCTGTACAAGGCCTGAGCTGAAACTCCATCCTTTTCCAAATATTATTCCAGGCAGCAATTTCCCACAGAGTTCAATGTGGAGACGCAGCGAGTGAGACTTGGCGATCACGCTCCAGCAAGCCACCTCAAAACCTCCTTTAACAGTCACCTACTTCAACAAGCACATAAACCTTGATCTTTATAGAAAGCCAATCACCTCTGGAAACAAAACAATTGTCCTCAATCAAGATATGAACCCCTTTCTCTACTGCAGGCATGACAGAGTAGGTCAGGAAGAGTCATATAATGAGAAATCAATCAAAAAAAACAAATTCATTAACATATAAATGCCAACAATTACTCAATTGTGACACAAGAAGTGCAAGATGTTCACAAGGAAGTATATTAAAGCAAGTCACACGACAAAAGCTCAAAAATTTTAATTATGCAAATTTCACAAGCAACAACCAATAAAATTGAAGACTGTCAGTGGAGTCTCAAGTGCAGGTACGACAGTTTTGGAGCAGTTTCAAAGTTTGACTAACCACATACATGGACATAATAAAATGATGCATGTAAAAGAAATTTAGTCTTAGTGAGTTGGATTCAAACATGGATTGTTTATGTTGTTAACTAGATGATGCAGTGAGCAGTTTAGCACTGCTGTAGTTCATATTGTAGTTTTTCCCCTGCATTTTGTGGATTATTAAGGACAAGATAATGGATTGTGTCAAATTGAAAATATAGTTTTATTAATTTTTGACAGTATGAGCGAGTTGAATTCGTTGATTGATCGAACGTTAATCTGGTTAATAATTTAATGCATTGAGCACTGCTGTAGTTTATATCACTGACACAACACTACAACAGCAGAATGCTATTTTTATATATTCTTATATATATTATATATATTTCTTTTGCATTTTCTAAAGATAAAAGCCCACACACCTTCACATTACAGAGACTATACTGTAGCTAGCCACATACAGTGACAGTTGCTGGCGGTGTGAACAGGGCTGAAGAAGAAGGAAGTTACATGGTTGCATTATCCTTTAGCAATCATTAATATGCTGATTTGGTGCTCAATAATGCATAGGATACACTGCATGATTTTAGATTTTCACTTGCAGAGAGTTTTGTGAAAATCGCAGATGAATTCTTGAAAGCGGAAGCAAATCAGTGATCATTCACGTGAGTGACAATCGAGCAGTGTGTGCTATCAAAGACGCAAACTTAGAGAAGCACCAATGCGTCACTGGAATATTTTATGTCTGTGAGCAATGCAGCATGCCAAATATCTGGACCTGTCTGTCGTGCAGTGTGAAATGTGTTTTGACTGGAAATGACATTGGCCACGACCTACTGCCAATGAGAGAGTAAGGGCGAGGGAAATAAACCTTCCTTGTTACTATCAATCTTGAAAATAGTTGTGCTGCTTAATATTTTTGAAGAACCATGAAATTTAGAAAGTAAGCAGAAATCATCAGAATTATTTTGTAATAAATATTATATATATACATATATATATATATATATATATATATACACACACACATTATTTGTGCTAGTAATGTAGAATTGTGTTTAATGCGTAAAACACAAAACACTGCACACATTGACATATATCCCACATAGGACGGTCCAATTTCTTACGCCTCTCATAAAAGCGATAAATATAGCTCCCTAGTTTGCGCTTGCATTTGACCAGAGAAAAATGTATGATTAATCCCATCCTGATTTACTGCTTTTATAGAGGAAGTCTGGTATAATTCTCAGATCCTGTTTTTGAGAACATTTGAGTGATTTCCCAACTTTTCGCCTTGCTTTTTTATTTTTGTAAGAGTAGAGGGTGCTTGTGTGGTCTAAACACAGGCAAACCTTTTTACAGAAAGTTCTGTTTCACAGAAACAGATGGTTCTAGATGGTTTGATAGACTGTGAAAAACTATTGTTTCATCTTCTGAAGTCCATGTATCGAAAAATGAATGTGGCCTAAAGGAGACAGGGAGGCAGTTTCAGACTAAGGAGACAAGGTTGACTGAAATGGCACGTAAAGGTCTGGTTGAGTGGGAGCTGACTTGGACTGACAGGTAAGGCGGTTGCCTTTGACGGGAGACTTGGAACTGGAGGAGAATATACAATCCCATCATTCAGAGGGACAGCTTTCATTCAGTGTTAGCACGCTAGTACGAAAAACAAGACATATCCTGCCAGTGAAGTTTTAACTTTCATGTACATAAGCTTGTATGTTTGCAAAACCCTAAAACCAAAGCATTGCATTTATATTGAAGCATCTTTAACATTAAATATAAATAACTTAAAACACTAAACGAGAGATATTGTAAAATGTTAGGATTCTTTATTCAGTTTGAATTGTGTATATTGTGTTGCTCTGCATTGAATTTTGTCAAATGTGATTAGACAAAACTATCTTATAGGCTTTAAAAAATATATTTTAATCTTTAATACATCATAATTTTTTACTAATTAAAAACAGACTATTTATTGATTTGTTATATTTAATTATGTGTGTGTGAATAATGTTAATACTATTTATTTATTTGTTAGCACAAGCAGGCTTGGCAAATAATACAAAAATTACAAAATTTGCCAATAACCTTGTCAACCAACGGCTGATAAACATTTTCTGTTTTAGTGTTTGTAGATAATCTTTTGCAAATACTTTGTACAAACAAGTCTTTCTTTGATTTCCGTTTTTTGTGTATGTCTCATTCCACATCTTTAAATTCCATTCCATAAATCTGCATTATATCAGACAAAAAAACTAAAATGGTCAATCAGTAGTTTTGAGTGTGGAAAGAAGGAATATGTAAATTACCTGCACTCCTTAGGTTGGGATCCATGTCTGGCATCTCTTTAACAGCTTCAGGACTCACACTGTAGATGGACGCTCCTGCTTCATCTGTTATGCTGAAACAACAAAGACACACTGAAGCTGGCTTCCAAAGAAATCAGAGAGGTAACCTCATGAAGACCCCAGTGAACTTATGAAGCTCCCTCAGTACACCTAGAGGCGTCAGACCAAAGAGTCCATTTAGAATACATTTGCACAGAAAGCTTGTATTTGATACAGCAGGAACCAAAGTTTACAGTACACAGCAATGCATGAAAGAAATACTACAACACACAAACTCAGCCCTGTTTTCATTGGAAAATGTTATTTTTTTTTTGGTAAAAACTGCATATTTGAGGTTAAACTGATTTCTGTGCTGCCATGCACACATAGAATGTTCCTTTACAAGTGTCATCCATACACATTTACAATCTGTACATACATATTTTGAGGAATCTTTATTTCTTAGAGTAGTGCAAACATGATATTAATTACCAATAGTTATTTAAACCATCTGACAGCCCAATTATTTAGCAAAGCACTGGCATCTTTCCAAGTACTCCCTTGGATGCACCTTTTTGTGAATCACTGCTTTAGTGATTCTAACTTGAGTGTCAACTAGATTGACTCAACACATTTTCAGTAGCATGTGTTTTGTTCTGCTTGCCACTCAACGTGATTTATAGTACACTAATTGCAGAGTAAGTCCCACCACAGGGAGAAGGGTGATGACCACATAGGCTCAAAGGTGAAAGAGTACACTCGGTTATATTTCCATCAGTGAAGTCAACTCTACCTGAAACTGAACCAACAACAAGCCCATACCTGATAGGCACTAACAATAATTGCCACATAAAACAGTTAAAAAAAAAAAAAGCAACTAACATAATATTAAGAACATATATATTAAGATAATATATATTAACATATATATTAAGAGTTTTGAACCATTAATTTGGGCAATAAAATGTTCTAGTAATCTAACAGCCCAAGAAAATATAGGTAAATACTGCCATCCTGAGGACATAATGGTAAATACGCTTGTCTACTATATTTATGAAAATCTCTAAATAAAATGTTAAACAGTCCTGCAAGAAAATATTGATAATTGCCAGGTACTTTAACAACAATAATAATAATAATTATTATTATTATTATTGTTATTATTATTATACATGAAGAAAACTGTAAATTATTAAATACAATTGAAATCTGAAAGATATATATTTTTTTTTACACAATCTTATACATGTTATTATATAAGTTATAAATGTTTTCCTTTTCTAAAACCTCAAATCCAGCCTTTCCTTCCTTTAAAACTAAAACTGACCACTCTCTGAAAACATCAGCAAGGATAAATGTCCTCCGCACACGATTATCACCACAGTGCATGACCATAGAAATTAAGGCACTACTGCAGCCTCCATTACATTTGCCTACTCTCTATTGGTGCCTAAGGGCTCTTTGGGTAACTTTGCCAATTAGTGTCATCATACTTATGACAGGATGCAGAGACTTTGTGACATGGACCACCAGTTTGACTGGTGTCCTCATTTTCCCAACTCCTTTCCCCTCCTCCCTCGTAGCCATGATAACAGGACTAACGAGCCCTGGCATATGACCTAGGGGTCACGGTGGAGCAGGTTATTAGAAAGATTATTAACTAATTAAGAAGGAAATGCATGCCAAACCTGATAAACATTCAAACAAAACTCATTTAAATATAGAACCACATTTTATTTAAAATATGATAACTAAACCATATAGATAAAACTAATTGTTCTTCATGAAATGAAAGGATGAAAAGTTATCTAAATGTCTCTTTCAGACATAGAAATGACGTACACCGGGACAATGCCTGCCAATAAACATTCACAAAGTATTACACCTCAGAAGTTTTCTTTTTTAAATTTAAGAATATGACCATTTACCAATATATTATTATAATTACATTAATTCTAATAATAAGAATTATATAATAAACTATCTAGTTTAATAATTATAATATACATTAAATAATAATACAAATTAAATTATAATTATCATTATTATTATTATTATTACACAAGAATATTCCCTCTTGACTCGGGATGTCCACAAGTAATTAACTTTAAGAATCAATATTCTTTTTCTTTTTTACTTATTTTATTTTCATGTAATAGATTACTTGGATTCACTTAACATGCACATCTCTATTTTGAAGAACCTTCAAATAAATTAAATGTTCATTGACTATTCTATTTAAGTTTATTTATAGTTTGTGGTTGATTCAGTTTATTAATTTCATGTCGGACCTCATCAAACTAGAATTGATTATTAAGTACTAAACGATTCAGCAGTGCTGAAAGACAGAAAAGTATAGAAAAGGAGAGAGCAGGTTTTTGATCTTACGAAAGAGAGGAACCGGTCATGTTCGAATAAATCAGAAGGGCTGCAAGGGTTAATGGGTACAAGCCCTGAACCATTCTGACATGGATATGCATCACATCGACCAACCACATCTCTTCATTAAGGGGACGGCTGAACTTGTAAAAAGGCAGGCAGCAGAAGGCTGTGAGCACTTGGCCCAGCTCAAGTGGACACCACGACATAAGAACAAAGACAAAACCAGCCTGCAAGTGTAGCAGATGACTTGATGACCCTTGAGGTCTGACAGTCACTCACTTAGTCACACCCAATACACCCACACTTTGGGGACTATCATGTCTCTATGAGAGTCTCTGGGCAAAGTCATGGCCGGGCCCCCTCTAACTGGAAGTAATTGTGGTATTCTCTGTGTTTGTCATCATCCTCTAGGCTGGTCCATCCCCCCCTCCCAATGTCCATGACCACCGGGTGACACCAAGAGATGGATACATACTTTGATACTTGCCCCCTAAACACGTGTTCTAATTAAACGCATTAATCAGATCTGTCCGCGGGGTGAAGAAATATCGTCACAGTATCTCCAAACCTGTAGATAGAAGTCCAATGTTCTTGATATTACTGGTTAAATTTGGAAAAATAAGACAAAATGTGCTGTTTTTATCTAAAAAGGTGAGAAAATTCGAAATGCTTCGACACAATGAAAGTTTTTTCCCAGCAAATTAGAAGAAGAAAAAAAATGTATGCAGTCGAGTACGAAATGTGCATACTAAATTTCAAATCAACTTTTCTGTTAAGAGTTTACTTTTTAGGGCAAAAAGTTCAAAAACTACCCAGTCTTTATGGTTAAGAGGTCTCTGTTCATAAATGTAGCATTAAGCATGTATCCTATGAAAGATAAATGTTAAATTGGATCCAAGAAAACAGTAATCTTGTAAAATATGATTACAATTTAAATCATTTTTCAATTTTATAAATTGTAAAATGAAATGTGATCCTGTGATGATAAAGCTGGATTTTCAGTAGTCATTACTCATTACATCATCAATGTTGAAAATGGTTATGCTGCTTAATATTTTCTGAGGAAACCATGGTGATTTTTTTCAGAATTGTCTGATGTACAAATTTCAAAACAACAGAATTTATTTGAAATAGAAATATTATAAAAAGAAAAATTATAAATGTCTTTGTCACGTTTGATCAATTTAATGCATCCTTGCGGAGTAAAAATATGAATTTCTTTAAAAGAAATCACTTGTGAATGGTACGCTTATATTACTATAAAATTCGGTTTATTTCAATGTGCACTACGGGGATACATTATTAGCAATATACCATTTTAAATTAAAAATAATTGAATCTCAAAATATCATCAGATGTGCGAAATGTACTAAATCCAGTCTTTTGTCTTTCACGTAAGCTGAAACAAAAAAGGACATTCTTATGAAAAAAAAAAAATGTTGGCCAATTACTCATAGCCAGCAGACCCAAGGGATTCCAAAAAGAGAAAAAAAACAATCATGAGATATCAGACCAATGCCAAGTATAAACACTATGACATTTTTTGCCTAGAAAAGGGCCAAAATGGCAGGTGTCAAAGGCCGTCAGTCTCAGGCTCTGTGCTAGGGGGTAGCAAGTGCCTAGTCAGCGTGGAGGTGCAGTTAACAGCACATTCAAGCTGCCACCACCACACAAGTCTGAAAAGAGCAAAACCTCACAGTCACTCACGTCAAACTGGTGGCAGATGTTCATCACCCCCTCAACACCCCTTCCTCCTTTAAACACCCAAAGAACTGCGGCAGAGGGTGTCAGCTGTCCAGATTACTGGATGCTTCCCTGTGTAGCAGGCAGGAGCCAGCACACAGGGTTTTGAATATGTTGGTGTCCAAGGCTTAAACCTTAATCTTAAACCAAGAACATTTTAGAGATTCAATGGTTCACACTGTGGACTGGATGGATCTAGCAATTCAGAGCACTCAAGTATAGCCTGCAAAAAGGATATTCCAGAGTTTTCTATATTATAATTATCAAGACCAGTTTCATTGGAAGCCTAGTTCATATATGCAGATGTGGAATTGAGGTTTCTATGTTTTGATGTTGCTTGCGTTTTCTTTTTCTGTACTCCAAGGGCTATAAACTACAACCTAAAACGGCCTAACACAAGTAAATGAGGCATGAAATGTGCAGCATGTTAAAATTTTACTGGTAGGGATTGCTTCCAGTTGTTCTGACATCACAAGAGCACATTAGATTAGAAATTGACAAATGGGGATTTGGCATCTGAGTTTAAGGCAATGAAAACTTTCCAAGCGGACGGCTTGCTTGATCTCATGCTTGGCTGCCACGTATCAATCAGCACTAGACGGATAGCGAGTGACATTGCAGTATTCATGTCTGCTCTTCTGGAAACTTTGTGTTCAATACAAGAAAGTATTCATAGTAAGCTAGCGTGTCTGATAAACTCATAACATTGTTATGCCAAAATCTCTTAATATAAAATGATTTAGAACATATATAAATGTAATATCATTTAGCTTTTTTTATGAATTGATGTTCTTAGTCATTATATAGATAATACAGTGCTGAATAGGGTATTTAAAATGTTTAATCAGCAAGGGTGCATTAAATTAATCAAAAGTGACAGTAAAGGCATTTTACGCAAAAAAAGTATTAAGCAGCACAACCATTTTCAACATTGATAATAGTCAGAAATGCTTCTTGTGCTGCAAATCAGCATATTAAATCTTTTTCTGAAGGATCATGTGACACTGAAGACTGAAGAAGTGGCTGCTGAAAATTCAACTTCGCCCTTACAGGAATCAATTACATTTTAAAATATATTATTTTTTATTTTAAATTGTAATAACATTTTACAATATTACTGTCTTATGGTATTTTTTGGTTAAAAAAAAATAAATCTAGCCTTGTTGAGACCTTTTTCAAAAATATATAAAATAATAATTCCAAACACAAATCTTTTGAATGGTGTTGTATACGAGACCACATATCAGTTAAATGCTATCTAATAAATTACTGTCATTTAGTAAACTTAAATAGCCCAGATTTAGGTAAACAAAGTATATTAGTAGAAATATTTTGATTGTTTTTAATTTTGAACATGTGTCCTGGGTTATAGCTTTATTATGAATTTGTCAATGTTTCTTATTTATATTCCAAAAATGATTGCATCTATTTGGATATAATAGATCAAATAAAGATACTATATAAAACCTGATTGATGGCAAGATAAATCTAAGAGCAAAATGTAAGATGGCATGAATAAAAGCCCTACCACTGTCAACCACACACAGACATTACCATACATTTCAATATATTAACATCAGTCAATCAAAATTCGGGAGGCCCAAGACAGTTGCTCATGAAGCCACTGGTTCTGGGTGTCCTCTGTGATGCGGACATCTATCCCTCAGTGAGCCATTAGCCGTGGGCCTGTGACTGGCAAATATCCCTCCTTATTCCTCACTGTCCTAATCACCCTACCCAGAATCCTCCTCAAAGGACAAAGTTTCCTGATGCAAAATTCGAGTCATCCAAGACCTTACAGCAAAAAGTGATTTCACTTTACCAGGAGCAAGCTGGCAGTAAAGGGCAAGTATTAATATATATATGGGCATATATATTAAATAAATATATAAATAAAAACATTAAATATATAAATATAAGCTATGCATAATATATATATATATATATATATATATATATATATACATACTTTACAGCAAGCTTGAACCAGGTAAAGTGAAATAAGAATAATATTGTAATATTGTTGAATATTGTCCCTTCTAAAAGATTAAAATTTTAGAAAGCAAAGATTTCATTTAGGTTTTTTTCATCCATGCTGACGTTGCATCTCCCAGCGTTAAGGAAATTGTAAAGATGCGACTATTCATAATTTACAGCAAGTGGTAGTTTCCTTCCTGTTAAGACTGAAGTGGTCATGCTTAACAACTGATCCCAGCAACAGAGTGTACTAAAAGAAAAATGAAAAAGGATAGATGAGAGAGAGCTCCAGTAATTCTGCTTTCTCCTGCAAAGTGAGTCTAATGACCAGAGACTGGCCGGCTGGTGGCAGAGAGCAAGCCTGAGGGGAGAAGGGTGGCCACTGCCACTGTCTTCAACCTTAAGAACTGACAGAGCTGTCCAATCAGTCTGTAGCTATAGCTCAGTATCAGGATCACTGTCCTGACAGTCGAAACACTACAGGCTTCCTCGTTAAGCAAGATACATGTCATTTTGTCCTTTAGGCATGAGAAGCAAAGTCAGGGCCAAACAGCAGCAATGACCAGAGAAGCACCTTCTGAACATGTTTCTTAGAAAGGAAACACTATTTTATAATATAAACTTGACAAATAAGCGAGCAGTTGCTTGAAAATAAACATTTTAAAATCATATCAATTATGTATGGCACACAATACACGATGAACCCTCTAACCCAAATCTGTACAATGTAACTATGACAAATCCATGACCAAAGCGCCAAGTGTTTCTACCAGAAGCGTTAAGAAACCATGTCAGCCAAGGTCAACTTTTATTGGGTCATCTTAGAGGCCTTTTGAGTATGTATTAGTCATGAGAATGCAGCATTCACACACCAACATACTGATAAAAAACACATACAGTGAGAGACCGTATTCCAGGATTCGCACACTCCCAAGTTCAAAGCTAATTATTTGTACCTTTAAACATAATGCAAACCAATTCAAATCATTGTAGCGGTCTAGAAGGATAAAAGCACCTGGCAGTAAAGAGTGCTGGGCCAGAGGAGGGCGCCACAAAGGGATTCCAGGATAGAGGGTCTAAGCATGGTGTAATCTCACAGCTAATTCAAATTGGAGCGGACTCAACTGGGGCACAAACTACAGAGTGAAAGTTCAAAGAGAGGGCAACTCTTCACCATTCATGTGAGTTTCTCACTGTACAACACAGGAATTAAAGCAAACGGTCACAAGAGACTAATAAAAAGACCTACAGTACACTATGTGTGCGATGGCTAAGTAACATGTGAATGATGGCTATTAGAATGTGGCCACAGATTGTGTGCCCGCCTGATAATATTTTTTAATTACTTATTAACAACATTAATAATAATATTGGTATCATACTCACAATATTTATAATAGGCCTACATATTTTACCCATCTTAGCAACACTGAAATAAGATATTCTGTGAAACTCATTAGCCACTAATAGTAAATAACTGCAACAATAATAGTAATAGTACAAATATTAGCGCCACAAACCAGTGCGTTTATGCTTATGATAATGAGTTAAAATAATATGATAAAAATACCAGTTTGCAACACCAAGCAGCATAACATGGCAGGTAAAATAACTGGAAGTGAATGACGCTGGAAGCCAGACGCATTCCGTTAAAAATAAATACAAATAAAAATAAAGATAAAACAACACTGACGTATTACTAACAGTAACGTCATTATACCACACTGTTAAAATGCAAGTAAATTCCGGTGTGAAGACAATTTGCCCCATTTCCTTAAAAGCACATCTAAGATCCATTACAATTCACCAAAAAAGGCCTTATTGTAGAAAGAACCAGAAGAAAATGTCAGAAGAAAAGTTTGTGTTTATCCCAGTCTTACTCAAGTAACAACCCTACCAACTCAACAGGCAAGTGTCCCTTCGTTTAAAGGAAGAGCACCAGGTCGCTGAGAGCCGTGCAGCTCATCCCGCAGGCTCATACCGCACACAGTCTGCCGGCACTGCCTGTCATTCCTCAGGAGCAGTCAGGCAAACGAAAGGAAAGGAGACGGCTAGCGGGGACGTCGGGACAGAAGGGAGGGAGCAAGGGATGGTAGGTGGGGGCAACGGATTGTTTTATGCTGAGGAGTAGGGAGACAGATAGCAGACGGTGCAAATGAAGCCGCTGATTTGATTGACTAGTGATGTAAAAGTGCACTGTGTGGAGACAAACTTTTAATAGGGACTGAAAAAAAAAGTCCAATTACATATTCTCTAACAAACATAACACTTAAAACACAATAGCACAAGATGCATCTACACTTCTACAGTACAATAGAAAGAAATGAATACTTCTATTCAGCAATGACACATTGAATTGTTCAAAAGTAACAGTAAAAACATTTGTATTGTTACAGAAATGTTTCTGTAAAAATGCTGTTCTTTTGAACATTCTATTCATCAAAGAATGTTACTTGAGCTCCAAATCAGCCTATTAGAATGATTTCTAAAGGATCATGTGACACTGAAGACTGGAGGAATGACAGCTGAAAATTCAGCTTTGCCATCACAGAAAAAAATAAATAAATAAAATCTTATATATATAATTAATTGTTATTTTAAATTGTAATTATCTTTTACTATTTGTAAATGCAGCCTTGGTGAGCAAGAGTCAAAAAAGTCAGTCAGGTCTATGTATGTGTAAGTGCGATAAAAGAATGGGAAGTTTAAGGGTCAGAAAAGGGTGAAGTATTATCACAAAAATGTTATTATGAAAATATAAAGAAATTGAGTTTGTAAAATGCGCAATAATGCTTTCATGTGTTTTTAACCACCATGTATATTTTTCATTTACATTCATACAAATAAGAAATACAACAAGCTGTCCTGTTAGAGCGTTTCACGCAAAAACAGCAACTAGATCCAATTTTCCCCTTATTGGAACATTTAAGCTTGCAGTTTTAAAGTATTTATTTTAACTTGCACCCTGCTTCTACAAATACTTGGCTGTGTGACTACCAGGACAGGAAACAAAGTTCAAACTGTCTGGCACGGCCGTCGTAGCAGTCGGCGTTGCACTGCCAATTTTGAGATCTCAAATCTTCCACTTTCATTTTAGAATGGAGGTTGAAATGGAGCCACTTGTGGAGCGCATTGGATGTCAATTTTGACGCATCATGCTTTGCTGAGAACTACTGAGGCAGACCTGGCAATCCATCTGAGCTGCACTGAGGGATGCGGAGAGCTGTAATGAAAACCACCATCAGTGTACACCATAAACGGCCACTTCAGAGCGGTTCTGGGCAGCTCTCCAGTCAGAACCAAAAGTCAACAAACACGAGTCTAGCTAGATGGAGAGAGAGACAATCCCAGATCCAGCCTTTATTTGGGTTGGCGGAAAACACGTCGGACTGGTTTGGTTTGAAGGGCGGTGAGAAATATTTGTTTTTAATTAGAGATAGTCAAACAAGGTCCAGATATCAGTTAAAACCCGCAAGAGTAACACATTCCAGATCGGCACCATTTCCTTTGCTCCCTTTCTGCGTACCTTGCTTAAAAGTTGCTATTTTCACTCTTAGTATAGTTTATTGATGAAGATTTGTCTCATTTAAATCTGCAATTGCACTGTAGACTGTAGAGTAGCCTGATGTGACCTAAAAAAAATGCTGAGCTACTATCAGAAGAACAACATCTGCCGCTAATCTGGTCTGATATGTTTCTAAAATAAAAAAAGGGAAATGTCATACCAGTAGGAAACATCTATGGGGTTGAAAAAGCGGCGTTTAATTAGGTCTGTAAAGAAGGCTTCAGTCTCCCTGCATGCTTTTCCATTTCCTATGACAATAGTTTGACAGCTGTGGGAGAACAAAAATATCAAGTTATTCATAGATATTTTCAGTGCCTACAAATAGTCAATGTTATCATTATGATAGCAATACCTGTGTTTGAACATAAGATGGCGCAGTTTTTCTGCCTCTTTGTATTTAGCAGAGCCATGGAGGTACACCACATCTGTGTGCAGGATCTGACCTGAGGAAAGAATAAACAATAGATATGTCAGGACAGTAAAGGATGCATGTAAATAGATTTTATGTGGAAATCAACTTAATACATCATCATCATGTAGGTACAGTAGACCCCCATTTATTTGCTCTCCAATTTTTTGCCTCCACCCCTCCTCTCAAGACAATACGGCTACCGTTTTCTGTCAGCCTGAGAGAGGCAGTCTAATCGCAATAGACACCTCAAGATCCGGGCAGGTCATGTGACTACACACCCACAGATATGTCACAGTCAAGCTGGGTTTGCGTGTGGTGCTGCTGCAGGGCAGAGGGCAAATATGGCAATGCCACCTGACACACACCCGCCAGGCCGATCAGTCGCCTGGATGTGGGACACAGAGGGCACAGCGTGCAGCTCCACGCACCGAGAGGACACAATGGGCATTCTCATCACACCTGCCAATCAGACACTCTCCTTCATCAACTTTAATTCCATTATGCTGCACTAAACTAAAAGTAATTACAATTAACAAGCAAAAGTGCATGACTATATGGTCCATTTCAATACTAGACTATAGTATTGTGTAACTGAGCAGATTGTGAAATACTCAGACCAGCCCGTCTGGCACCAACAACCATGCCATGTTCAAAATTGCTTAAATCACCTTTCTTTCCCATTCTGACATTCAGTTTGGAGTTCAGGAGTCCTAAATGCATTGAAGCAACTGCCATGTGATTGGTTGATTAGATAATTGCATTAATGAGAAATTGAACAGGTGTTCCTAATAATCTACAAAGTTTGGAAGAATTATGATTTGTTATATATTTATTTATTTATTTATTGGGGGGGGGGGGGTCGTCTTCTTTGCTCACCAAGGACTTTTGCATTTATTTATCCAAAAATACAGTAAAAAACATAAAATTGCAATATATGATTCGTTTAAAATAACTCTTTTCTATATGAATACATTTTTATATATAATTTATTCCTGTGATGCGCAAGCTGAATTTTCAGCAGCCATTCCTCCAGTATCCAGTATCCTTCAGAAATCTTTCTAATATGTTGCTTTGTTACTCAAGGCTGCTTTATACGTTTGTGGGAACACAACCATTTAAAAGGTTAAGGATAAGTTAGTTAGTTTTTTTTTTTTTTTTTTTTATTAATCAAGGACACATTAACTTGACCAAAAGTGACACTAAAACATTTATTTTGGTAAAAAAAAAAGTTTTCTACTTCAAATATATTCTGATCTTTTGAAATATATATATATATAAATAATGGTTAAAAAAATATATTTTTTAAATACAAATTCAGTACAAAAACAGTTCTAGAACAGGGGCCGTATTTACAAAGAATTTTAAGGCTAAAAGTAGCTCCTAATTGGCGAATTTAATTGGAGAAACTGCTAAAAAATTGGAGAAACTGCTCCTAATTGGAGAAACTGCTAAAAATAATGTCACTCCTAACTTTAGGACTCCTAATTTTTTTCACTAAGAGTAATTCACAAAGCATTTTAGCCCTAAAAGTAGCACCTAAGTCTGGGACAGCTTAAAAGAAGTCGAGAGGACTCCTAACTCACTAAGACCTAATTTCACAGAGGATTGTAGCACATACCACCGCCTCTCGCAGTCATCCAGGTTCTGCAACACAAGCGGGAATGCTGCATTGATCTGCAAACTGCAAAAAACTCTCCCATGTCTCACGCTTAATTTTGCTTGATATCCCAGTGCCGAACATTTATTGTTTTTTTTTTCCAGCACCAACTGGGCCAGCAGCAGTAACTGATCCTGCGTCCAGTTGGGCTTTCTTTTCCGTTTTGGCCACCGTAATTCAACTATTACTTTACTTCAATAGGAACAACATTTCCCTGCTTTGAGTAGTCTATTTAGGCTAATAGGATGTCAATTAACCAAGCAAGTGTTAATGCAAGTGTCGTTTTCATTATTAGGCAAGTGGCGGTTTTGATTAGGGTATTAGGCTACCTTGATTTAATTTAAAGTCCCCGTGAACCGGAAGTTGCAAACGATTTTTCTCCAGTGCTGTGACGTATTTCCAAGTGAAACGGAATATTGAACAGAGGGCAGGGTTTTACTCTAGCGCTCCTCCTCTCCATCTCTCGCTCATAGCAAACTAACGGTTTGAGGGGAGTGGTTAAGCGTTTCCCCACCCAAACTGTGAAACCTACGTCATCAGAAAAAGAAACCGTTCCAGACCGGAAGTAACTTTTCAGAATTTGATTAAAGATTACTAAGGTAAAACATTTTTTTAATATATATTCACTTGCACGGATTAATTGTTCACCACAAGACTAGTAATATGCGCTAACAAAGTAAATAGGTTCAATTTTGATTTCATGGGGACTTTAATGAAATTCACAACTTTTCTCTCTCTCTCTCTCTCTCTCTCTCTCTCTCTCTCTCTCTTTCTCTCTCTCTCTCTCTCTCTGCCTTTTTACAATTACACTTCACTGGGGCCTGCACAAACATTTCATTATGTATGCATTTCGATGATGACATTACAATTATTATTTTGTGAAGGACAGACATATTTAGATGTCGTAATTCCATGATTTGTTGCGTCTGTGCTATGTTCCTGTCATCTAACAACAAATCACAGCGAACATTGCGAGGAAGCTCATGCATGAGAATTGACGTCATCCATAACTCCTAAACTAAGAGTGCTGTCATTTTTCCTTATCTCAGGTCTGAAAGGCGTTTTTAAGAGAAAACTCCTAAAATATTTTAGTGCGATTTAGAAGTACTCCTAGTGGTAAGATAAAATTCTTTGTGAATATGGCCCCAAAACAATAAGGACAGTTACTAATATTCAATATTATTGTGTGTGCGTGTGTGTGTGTGTGTGTATGTTCTTGCATATTTGGTTTATGAGGACCCAAATCTGTATAATGACATGGGTAGACATGTAGACATGGTTTATGGGACAATGTAGACATGGTTTATGGGACACTTGCCACTAAACTGTGTTTTTTAATTATTATTCAAATAGTTGTGACGTTTTCAGTGGGGGGATCGATACAGATTGCACAGTATAAAAACAATTACGCCTATGGAGACTCCCTGTAAACCACACATATACACCCACAAATATAAGTTATTGTAAGTTTATTCCACATTTAGTCAGGTGTCTTACTGGTTGGGGACAGGATTGCCAGTTTGCAGCCATGGTGAAACCCTGGGTCCACTCCCATGATGACTTTCCCACGCACAGGACACATCAGAAGACGCTGACGCAGATTACGAACAAACATGGCAATGGACTCTTTTTCTGCACTAGCAGTCAACTTAGACCTGGGACAAGAAGAAAAAAAGAAGCATTGCATCTTTGTGTTCAGTATTTAAAAATAGAAACTTTATTTTCTGGTGAGAACAAACCTGTAGCCTCGACTGAGAAAGGGCAGAATGAATCTTTTGTAGGAATCTTCACAAGCATTCTTCAAAATCGTCATCAGTTCTGGCTGTGCAAATCCCTGTGGCCTCCATCTGTAAGTCAAAAGGCAGATAAAGTCCTGACAGACAGTTTACACGTTCGTACAGCCTCCCCCAAAAACACTAAAAAGTCTATTCAAAATCTGACACGATTGTGTACTTACAACATGGAAATGTACAGTGTCCGTGTTACATATGTTACATGTACAGTAAGTAATTTATGCATTATTACAAGCAACTAACCTTCAACCAAATCCTAATCCTACACTAACCCTATAGTAAGTACATGTAGTTGCTTAACATTACTCAGTACTTAAATATATAATTACACTGTAACAATGACCCCTTAAAATAAAGTATAACCGAAATAATTACTTCTAAGTTAAAATGTGTTAAAAAGTTATCAAGGAGAAAACTAATTATCTTTTTTGAGAACAAGGTGTTTATCATTGCAGCCGAAATATTCTTTTAATAAAAAAATCTATTTTGTCACAATGACTTTTCAGTGTAAAAATGTTTTAAAATTACTAACTTCCAAAACTATAGAGCTTTTACATTTAGGTAATATTAGGTTGAGCTTACAATATAATCCTTTCTTTTTAAAGGGTGATAAGTGGGTTGATATTCACCAAATAAATTTAAATCAATCTTTTTTTTTACATGCTACATCACTATCAAAACCTGTGGATAATCTTTAACACCTGGCAGCGTGAAAGTCATTTCCCAACCCATTGCCCATTAAGCAGGCAATGGCACTGGGCCAGACCACGAGGGAGAAAGTAAGAAGATGAGGCGTGGTGCATGTATGAACACTGTGGGTGTGTGCTGACCTGACGTTGACGCACCACCTACAGAAGTCATTCTTCACCCAGTCGGGGATGTTGACCTTCACTGTCAGAATCTTCAGATTCTCCCCACGGTTAATGGCTAACGTCTGAAACAAGAGAGTAACCTGTAGAGACAGCCGACACAAGGCGAGGCACGGTAGTGCACCGTCGGTACCACCCCCTCCCGCTCTCTCCTAAAACAAGTCAGAGCGCACTAAGACGCACTCGTGTCGCAACGAAAAGCTCTGTGCCTCTCTCACTTTTCTCTTACTGATCTTCTAAGGGGAAGTGACATGCTGTGAAGCAAATAGTTTTAAGTATCTGACCTTTTCTGAGGAAAACCTTTTGAAAGGAAACAAGAGGGAAAAGATGACCCATCAATCTGGACTCCAAGCGGAAGAACTGAGCTGACAAATGCCACCAACCCCCTACATAAACACACACCCCACCACAGAGCAGGCATCCGCCCCCTCTGCACTGCTCAACAGCTAATGGCCCGATCAAGACGGGAATTAATGCAGCCAGAAATATGATGAAAATTATATTTCCATATTTTGGCATTTCAACACCCCAAGGCAGCTGTTTACTTGGGTTTTCTCATGCGATGTTTATCGCATTTGAAGTTTTGCATGTGATGAGAGAAATGTCAAAACAAATATCAAACTTTACTCCATACTCTGTGTCATTTACGCCCTGAGTAGTAATTGAATATTTAATTAATAATAATATCATATTAATAATTATGCATACATTAAATCATGTACAATTACAACAGGACTACAATTAGAAAAAACATAAATATACCCTAAAATAAAAGCAAGCATAGCTTTTTAATATTCATGGACAACATTTCCAAAAAAAAAAAAAACAGGCTGCACAGATATCCATTAAAATACACTCTTGTTTGTCATCTCACTCAGCCAGTATTAAAGCTTGTCTAATAAAAACAATTCTGATAAATTGTAAAAAAAGAGAATGTGTGCAAAAATAAGGTTTAAGTGTAACACTCGTCACCGAAAAACAAAAATAGAAAAAAAACAGCCATTTTAAAAAACAATTTTTCACAGATTCAGTTTAGTGTCATATTTCTCCAGCTTTAAGACATGCTAGTCCAAGACGTGAAATTTTCAAAACAGAGAAGGGGGAAAGTTTTAGTCTAAATATTCAACATATCAGGTTCCTCAATAACAATGAAATCATAATTGGAAAAATATGAGGAATGTACACGACAGAAATGAATATTATTTTAAAGACTGAGCTATTCCGATTCAATATTTTTTCTCCAAATAAAAGCAAATACATTGCTATGGAAGAGAGCAATAGAGGATGGCCTCTACAAAAACAGAAATAAAGGATGAACTTTTCACTTCCTATCTTTGCATGTACAGAAAAACAAACATACACAACATGGGGTTTAAAATACAACAATGATCATTCTCCATACAAAATAAACATGATCTTTTGCTTTAGTGAGAGCTGCTTTGTTTTATAAAAACACCTGATTATTGTAGTCAATCTCTCATACGCTCAAAAAACAAGCGTTTCTAAAAATGTGCTGTTCAAAAACATAAAATTTTTTAGTTAGTAACAAATAAAAGGTGGTCTTGAATTTTATTTATTACTAACTGGTGATTTGTAGATTTTTGACAGCACATTTTTAGTGGAAGATTTTTAGCTGGAAGAAGAAATTTAGTTTGTATTTGTCTTTGTAAAAAACAAAAACAAAACACTTTTTTTAACTCTAGAAATGTTTATAGCATGACTAGGATATGAAAAAATGATTGGGACTCACACTCATTTTCATTACAGTTCATGAAAACTTCAGCAAATTTGTTTTTGTTTAAAAAAAATCATGAGATTTCTTAAACATTTTTTTTTTTGTAAAAACAAAAACAATTTTGCTGAAAGTTTATCACAGAATAACAAAGTACAATCACAAAAACAGGACCTTCAGCTGAGTTGGACTAACAAGCCTCTGAAAAAAAGTAGTCTAGACTTCTTGGATGAAAAAATATTTTACATTTTCAGAAGGTAAAGAATGCCACTACTGTTTTACAGTATAAAGTATTTAATTTGTCTCATTTATCAACATTAATTAATGTATTAAATAACATTAATTTAACAATGTTATTTATTCATCTTTTAATATATTATAAATAGAATTGTTCAAGTGCATTAACTAATGTTAACAAACACAACTTTTGATTTTAATAATGTATTAGTCAATGTTGAAATACACTAACTAAGATTAATAAATGCTGTACAAGTATTGTTCATTCTTAGTCCATGTTAACTAATGTAGTTAACAAATGAACCTTATTGTAAAGTGTTACCATATACTGTATGTGTACATATAAAATATTTAAAGGGTTAGTTCACCCCAAAATGAAAATTATGTCTTTACACACTCTCATGTTGTTCCAACCCTGTAAGACTTTCGTTCATCTTCAGAACACAAATTAAGATATTTTTGACTAAATCTAAAAGCTTTCTCACTCTCCTCTTCTCATGTAATTGAAACCTGCCGGCCAAGAAAGTTAGTACAAACATTGTTAAAAAAGTCCAAGTGACTAAAGTGGCTCAACCTTAAGTTTATCAAGCGATGAGAATACTTTTTGTGCACCAAAAAACTTAAATAATGACTTTATTGAACTATTCATCTTCTACTGTGTGGGCCTCTGAGTGAGTTCACGTAGTGTAACAGCGCAGCACTACGTCAGAACGTAGGCTCACCATTGGCCGATGCTGGTCACGAGTGTGATGCTGGCCAACGAGTAATTACTGGCAGAATTTTCATTTTTGGGTGAATTAACCCTTTAAGTTAAAATAAAATATATTTAAGCTTAACATGAAGTTATCTATTCTGAACGCTTCTGTCACCATCTTTTCATGTTTTGAATTTCAATATGTGCAATAAAAATGCATAAATTCTGCCTAATTTACACAAAGCACCAATGTACCCTCTGTTAAAAATAGTGTCACGAAGACCAACAAAACCTTTGACCAACTGGTGAAGTTACGAACATGTGGAATCCACACACACACACACACATTTGTCCTTAATGCACTCTAACAACTGATGTGTTAAATTAAACAAGCAAGTATGTGTGTATACACATGCCTCCTGTCAAAACACATTCCACACTGTTCCTCAGCAAAACCACGAAAAGGTTCATTTTAGCCGGAGCGCGACAGCTCACAGATCACGGCAAACTCAAATTAACACTCACTGACAAACCGCGTCAGCAGATTAACAACGGGTAAACTGTCTGATTCACGGGAGATGTCGCCGGCACTCATTCACTCACTCATGCGGCCTCTCTTTCGCTCTTTGTCTCTCTCCCTCTCACCCTCACGCCCGATCCCCCTCCTTCCTCACAGAGCCCATGAGCGTCTGTCATCATGAGGCAGTGTCTGTCAATCCTAGCCTTTAATCCACAGGCACGTGGATGGGGACGTGTCACATATGTTAAGAGGGGGAGATAGGGAATGACTGGGGGACAGGGAACAGGGTGAGAGAGACGAATAAAGGGAGAAAAGGATGACTGAGTCACTCTGACATGTGGCCCACAACCAACTCTGAATAAGCGGGTAGCCATGAAATGAAAGAGGGGAAGGGGATGCCATTGACACAAACATAAACAGTTAAACAGAGCTGACAGAAGAGCTTTGAAGAGTGGCACGAGGACTTGTGTATATGGAACAACACTGTCAGTGTGTGTGGAGTGGAGGATAGCGTCCGAGTGTGTGCACATACACTAGTTCTCAAAGGTTTGGATACATCTACTCGTCGTTTATTATGATTTTCGTACTATTTCAGTGCATTTCAGCTTCTTCAAAGTGTCCACTCTTTGCAAAAAACTTTATGAGCTGTGTCCTGGGATGCTCTTTACATACAGTAGTAGTGAAATACATACAGGGCACTTGTTAGCTCTTTACTATACACTAACTAGGACAACTAGGACATAGTTCAAGGACATTTAAGAACCATTTATAAATGTGCCTTTGAAAAAAAATTAAAACATTACTGGTGTGCATCTTGAGACAAAACAATGTTACTGATATATTTTAAGATTTGCCAGTGCAACTTGCTTTCAGTTACAACAGCTCAAACATGCATTTTAGTCTGAGACTAGCCTTAAGCATATTCTGTGAAAGCAGAGGTAAATGCAGTTGTCCAAACTTTTGACTGGTAGTGTTAATAAATAGCCCTGGCATTTTAAGTCCCGGGCACCAATATTTTATTTTAATGATTCAGAAAGATGACAATACCTGATGATGCTGGATACGATGGACGTCGCAGGTGAAGTCAGTATACAGGCTGAAATTGGCAATGTCCTTTGGTTTGCTTTTCTGATTTCCTTGCTGTGGCTGCTGTTCTTTCAGGGCTGTTTTAGACACTGATGAGTGAATGGTCACGTTACTTCTGTCACACCTGAGACCATACAAATGCAGAGTCAAACATACAATCATAATTGGGACTGACAGGTTAGAAAATGTAAGGGGATGCATAAAAGAGCAAGACAAACACATAGATTAAAAGGTAATAGAAAGATGATAATTAAGAGGGACTGGAGATCTTGGGTTTGTTAAATGTCTCACAGTGACTGGACATGGGTGAGAGTCTCTTTGTCCTTTGCAATCATATCTGCCAGGATCTCCTGCACACCCGTGGCCACCTCATCCAGGGTCGACAACCCTACACACAGGAAAAGAAATCTCACAAATCATTCACAGTTATCAGTGACCCTGCATTAACTTATGAGAACTGAATTTCTTTGGTGGAAAGTGTAGAACAGTTCTGACTCCTGCTAATTTATACAGCACAAATATTCCACAGTACAAATATTCCACATAGTTATATGGAAATATATGTAAAACTTGGAAATACATGTCACAATGCTGCTGAAGTCACTCACTCCCGTGATATGTCAATGTCAACTGTCCAAAAGCATGTGAAGACAACACACAGAAAAACCGAAGTCCTTTGCTGCCCTCTACTGACCCAATGTCTTTTATCATTCTCTTTATTTGATATAGAAATTAAGGAGGCAATGTTGTGACCATTAATCAGTTTCAAAAACTATTATTGTTAAATTAATGTACTGTACTAGACATGTGAAAATCTCTTTGAAAAAATCAAATCTTGTTTTTCATTCTCTCAAAAGAAGTCAATCAAACTGATGCCCTCCATGTTCCGTGTGATTGGCAGTTCGCTGCACTTCACACTTTTAGGTGCATGCCATGCACTTCAGATTTAATCACAATCTCTGGATCAAACCCTGAGTTAACAGACAATGTTTATACAAAGTGTACCTGATCTAAACAAGGCTGGACTTCTATGGTTTTGTCAACTCTAAACCTACTCTGAGTTTGTTCAACCATCTTCATGCTACAGGCCTCTGGCATACAAGTACCAATTTAACATGCTGCAAGTAGTATACAAAAGACTGATACCCTTAGTGTTGGGCAGGATTGAGGAGTGCAGATCCAGTGTCTGAGGAGCCTGAAGCAGAGCCAGGGCAACAGGTTCCAGTCCTAGCTCCTTAGCTCGCCTGGCCTTGGACAGCTTACTGCCCTTTTTATAGGGGCCATACTAAAGACAACACAAAAGTAAATGCTCTCATTACATTCCTCACAGTCAAAAACACACCAAATGATCAGAGTTAATAAACTTGTTCTGTCTTACCACATGGTCTATTTCATCAGCTGTTGTGCAGTTCTTTAAAACCATTTCCAGGTCTAAAGTAAGAACTCCTTCCTTCTTTAGTGTTTGAGCCACAGATCTGCTCTTCTTGGCAACTGACCTAAGATAGAATGAAGTTGATCCTGTTTGCTTTTCACTTTGCTTTCTCATTAGGACAAGTGGCTAATAATTGTCTATAACATTGTCAAGTTATACTACTGTTAAAGTCAGTAAGATTTTTTTTTAAACATTTTATCTTATGCTAACCAAGGCTCCATTTTGTTGGTCAACAATACAATAATTAAAACAAATCAAGTAATAATCCAATTTAAAATCGCTGTTTTCTTTTTAATATATTAAGTGTAAATAGTTCCTGCAATGGCAGGACACCGTACTACATTCTTTAATCATTATTTTTTATTTTTTATATATCTATTATTTATGAATAGATAGTTCAAAAGAAAAGCATTTATTTGAAACATAAATATTTTGTACTATTATTGTACATGTCTACTGTTTGACCAATTTAATGCACACGTTTCACTAACCCCAAACATTTGAACAACAGTTTATGAACAGAAAATGTCAAACTTAGTCAAATGAACCAAGTTTTAAAATAAGTTTTATTTCTGGCATGCAGCTTAATCTCTGCTGCCATCTACAGGTCACACTTTATTTCAACAACCTAATCAAGGTAACTCAAGCCAAGTAATAGCCATAATTAAATATCAGCTTTTTGTGTCACTGGACTGGAGACATCCATCTACTAAAAGTATTTTCATATAAATTAATTATTTGCAAGAAACCAGTCAGAACGTACAAATTTTAAAAAAAAACCTCCGTACAGTTTTCCATTTCTGCAAAATGATTAAATAAAAAGCTTTATCCAGCAACCACTTATTGTGTTTCCTTAAAAATTAAAGTTTATTAAACTCTATCAGATAAATATAAGAAAAAAATTTCCTTTCTGCTAACTTTTTTTTTTTTTTTTTACTTGTTCTTCCAGTGTCTTACCGTAACTCTTCAAGAGCCAGCTGCACATCTCGAACAGCATCTGCATCCATATGGTTAATCAGCTCCTTTCTATAGCGCACCATGAAGGGAATAGTGTTCTCCTCCTGGAGGAGCTGTGCAATGTTCATACACACCCACTGCTCCACACCCGTTTTGTTAGCAAGAACCTACATGGGATGAAAAAAAGATATGGTCTTGAAATATTTGAGTTACTATTATTGTACTATGTGAGAAAAAAAAAGATTGGATTCACAAAATAGCAAATAATAATAATACCTTTAACAACACAAAAACAACACTGAGTCACTATTCACTATTTCAGGTTTCAAGAAAGTAATAACCCACCTGAATGGGATCCCAATTCATCTGTAAGTCTTCCACACAGGAACTGCCCGGTTTGAGTTTTATAGGTCTTCCCTGGGGCATGTTTGTGGTCTTCTGCTTCTTCTGAGCAGGTTCATCAAAGGTGAAGCTGTCATCTGGTTCCTCTTTTTTCATCTTGGGGAAATGTTGGCTGGAGGATGGACCCTCATCAAGCATATCTCTTGGGACACCTGCATTATTATTGAACTCCCTGCTCAAGTTGATGGACAACCTCTAAAAAAAGGCAAAAGAACGAAGCCAGTAATTTGAGTGCATTTATTAAAACTGCTAATCTGAATAGTTCCTAAATAATGTCTTTAACTAATGCCCATGTAAAGCTATACTACCATAGATCAGTCTTATGCTCACCAATACGGCATTTATTCGATTAACAATACAGTTAAACTATAATATTGTAAAATATGAATGCAACTTAAAATGACTTTTCTATATTAATATATATTTAAAGAGTAATTAACTCCTGTAATTGCAGAGCTGAATATTCAGCAGCCATTACTTCAGTCTTCAGTGTCACATGATCCTTCAGAAATTCAAAATTCTTAATATTATCAACGTTAAAAATAGTTGTGCTGCCTAATCCTTTTGTGGCTATATTATTATTATTATTATTACAATAAAAAAAAACTTCAAAAAGACTTAATTTAAACTTTATACTTTACTGACACTATATCATTGTAACACTTCCTTACTGAGTGTGTACAGAAAAAGTCAAATTTAGCCAAATTAACCAAGGTATAAAATTATAGAACATAAATATACTTAGATTTAGAATCAACAGACATCCCAATGAAGTAAGTGATTTGAATACATTATATTTTTGTTGGTTAAATTATATTATAATTGATGTTAGGGGGTAGATAGATAACATATAGGCTATTAAATAGTCATTTAGAGAAGCAGAAGCAGTTATGCAGAGCAACTTACAGTACACTTCTTACTGCTGCCAAGTCAAATACTAAAAACTTGCCTCTTCCTTGATTGGCACATGCTGGTGTGATTCAGGCTTCGGTAGAACTGCATCCTCAGTTTGATTCTCTGTATTAGTCTTCTCCTTCTTCGCTTTAGGAACTCGTGGAGCTCTTGGCTTCCTCTCCGCTTTAGGTTTTGGCTCTTTAGGTTTTGGCTCTTTAGGTTTGGCCACCCTCTTGCTCACTTTTTTCTTTTCAGTGGTTTCATCTGTTCCCCCCTGGCATCTTCCTTTAGTTTTGCCTTCATTTAAATTTGGCAGCCATTCATCTAACTCCTCACTGCCATCTTTCTGATTGCCTGTTCTGTACGAAATGATTTATATTTCATCCAGCATCCAGGGAGAACAAGATATAGAAGCTCTTGTATTATAAACATAAAGCTATCAACATTACTACCTGAAAATTCAATTCAAAACTGTTAATCTATTAGCAGAAAGAGCCTAAAAACATTTTACTGCACAGTTTTGCATCTTAATTTTCTTGGAAGCTAATTTGAAGAAAAAAAAAATGTGTTGGATTGTGAAAGCAAAGCAAAATAACTCACATGTCATCAGAATCATCCTCAGTCTCTGGCTCTTTATACACCTTTGCTGTTCTTGTTCTTCGAAGCATCTTAGTGTGGGAGAACTAAATAATGGACTAAATGACAGTAACTAACAAATAAGAATGTATGGGCGCTCATATGTGAGTATTTCAGACAATTTGAGACAAAGTGATGAATATGAAAACCTGCCCGTCAGGTGTCACGTCAAATATGTGCAATTTAACGCTACTCAGCGCAATCCAAAAGCAATGTTGTTGTGGTGGTGAACGTTAAATGTGAGAAACTGTCAGTAGAATCAATCAGAAAGTCGTTTTGAATTTAGCGCGCGAGCACGTACGTGTAATTTGTCTTAACTAATGGTTCTCCTGGTGACCAAATATTAAACCAGAGATGTTCATCTACAGCAGTCGATTACAGAACTGTTCAAACTTATAATGTTTCTCTGACAGAAACAAACTATCACCCATTTCACGGCTGAACGATGCTTTTGTTTTCCTCAGCGACGTCAGCAGCAGGAAGTGATGTAGAACTCTTAATATAATAAAGGTCCATCTTCATCCGTTTTTTTCATCAAAAGTTTTTTCCATCAAAAATCAAAAATTTCATTAAAATTACAAGCTGGTAAGCATTCTCTACTTATAAGCATAAAAAGAAGCAATTTATTTAAATATACAAATTCACCATTTCAATTTTCTAAATGAATGTAGGCTAACTTATTTGTATAGCTATTGGTAAGTTACTTAGTTAGTTACTTAGTAAGTTACTGCAAATATTTGAGAACGTTACTTCTAAAAAAAACAAAAACAAAAATAAAAAAAAACACATTTTTACTCCAAACATTGTTCATTAAATGTGATGTGACTGTCCATTTAATTTGTTCTTAGAATGTTCAAAATATACAGATTATTTTAATGTTTTTAAAAAAGATTTGTCTTGTGACTGTTGACTAATGTTTAGATAATTTTTCAATGTATCATTCAGCTAAAATGTTTCAGAAATACATCTGAAATATGTTACAGAATGAATAAATATATATATTTTTTTGTGCTAATGTTTTGAGAACGTTGTTACTGGAAGAATGTTTCTTAACTTTGAGAGAACCTTGCCAGAACTTTAGCCAGCTGGCTGGTATGAAGAGAGGCAAGATATAAATGTTTGATGAGTAGAGAGCTTTGTGCCAAATATAAATCAATAAAAATGTAATATGAATAATGACACTGTAATGTTTTTATTGAGAATTTCAGCATTAAAATGACATTATGTAGGCATGGTGCTATACATCTAACCTAAACTGGGCTATTCTCCATAAAACACATCTGTTTTGATATAGTTTGCAAAGTAAAGCTATACATGCACACTTAACATGATTATTTGTTTTTGGACATTTACACGGTGGCAATTTAATGAAATCTTCTTCTGTTGCACTTTATTTTTATTACTGAACCAATAAATAAAGCATATCAAGAGCAGTGTGTATTCAAAAGTCACAAAGTACATAGCTTGTCTTGAGTGGGGAAAAAAAAAAAAAAAACTGTAAAAATGTGTGCACATGAGCCGAGTCTATGCACATTGCTCTTTACACCCGTCCACTTCCGGGAGTTGCGGGGTTTGTTGTTTGTCAATTATTGCCATAGTTGTGTAAAGTAACCATTGAGATTGTTCCCTGCTCTGCAAAATGAAGCGAAGAATCAATAAATCTGAAAGAAAACTTCAGTCTGCAGGAAGATTGACGAAACCTAAGGATTTGAACGAGCATGCAAGGCAAGCCATATTTGTTGTTATTATGGAAGACATTTTCTGCAAATTTTGAATAAATCAATTATATGATAAAAATGACTAAAATTATCAATTTCATTATAAGTACACTGTACGCAAAATATGTGACAGCATTTAAAATTAAATGATTTTCATTTTTACTGTTACAATGCATCATCCCTGTCAAATTGAAAAATGTAATGCAATTTGTGATTTGATGTTTTATTTTCACTACAATCTCGACGCAAGACTGCCAATATTAAAATGAAAAGTCAAATGTAAAAGAGAAACTGACTTCTTAGCAGGCAATACTTGATAAAACATAGAAAGTTATTTGGCAATTCGTCAGAGGTTAAGCGGTTCATACCATTGCAACACAAAACATTTAACTATTAAGTGGATGTTCCACTTAAGTACATGAGTTGTAACCAAAGGCAAAAGCAAAACATTTGTCTAAATGGTGTAAATTCTGTGAATGTTCTTTTTTTAAGATCTCAGTGGACTTGGACTAAAATGGGACTTCTCTTGATGTGTGTGCTTTCTGCAACAATACCATTTCTAATGCATCTCTTCTCTGGTATGCTATTACCCCCCACCAATATTAATGTGTTGTTATCTATATACTGTTGTAGTTTATGGATTTTTCCCTATAAATTCATTTGTTTATTTCTCCAGACTATGTTGACCTCAGCCAACCTTCAGATATAGGTCTCAATCACACTATAAATATCTATCTCAAACCCGAGGAGGGGGTGAGAGTGGGCGTGTGGTTAGTTTTAAGACATCTACATGTCACATATATACTCAAAAACTTTAAAACAACAATAACAAATATTGATGTTGTCTATATATTTTTTCTTTGTTTTTGCATTATACATAATTCATTTGTAGGTATACTGTACCTGAACATAGATGGAAAGAGGCGCAGGGGCAGAATCTAGAGTGGTATGAGAAAGCTCTGGGAGATGGATCGCCAATTTTCATCTACCTCCATGGCAATGGGGGTAACAGGCAAGAAACCTTTAATCAACTTAAAACACAAGAGAACGTACTCGGTTACCTAATGTAACCTCGGTTTTCTCTAGGAATTCAATGCGAATTTAAGGATAATTGTTGGCTTCAGATCTCGAGAAAAGATGACTTTACCTGTAGCGTAAGCAGCTTACGCAATACAAGAGAACCTATCGGAAGAGAACACCTGGCTTTTATTCTTAGACTTTTAATCTATGTTCACTAAAGATTCCCTTTGATGAGCTATAACCATGCAGACACTATGCAACGTCTGCATAATTTCTCAACATTGATCAGTGGGCCTACATATCTTTTACAAACATTGATATTCAGCATTGAACTTCAGACTCCTTTGCACTTTACCTTAGTAAAAAACTGGGATGGGCAACTGCAGCATATCACTTAACGTCAACATTCAATCATTTTGCAACCTCACTATTTGAAAAAAGATTTGATCTAATAAAACCAAACATAAAAACTATAAGTGTGTAAACACTACCACAATATTACAACTTTTTTTTTACCTTAAATACAATTACCACACATGGATTTTGGCTAATACCCCAATGAGTTCCTTTGTTTTTTTATTTGATGAGGATATACTATTTAAAATTCTAAATAAATAGATGAATAAATAAATAAAACAAAATAAAAGTGATGCATGTTGCATATATTGAAAATACATGTAAATAATTAGCTTGATTAGTCTTGATGCTGGCATGACCTTTGTATCCTCAATAAACAGATCTGCACCCCATCGTATTGGAATTTCAAACGTGAGTAAACTCACTTTTTTCATTATGTAGAAAGACTAAGAACTTATAGAGATAATGACTGAAGTGTCTTGGCCATACAGGTCTTGAGTGCTGTTGGATATCATGTCTTGGCGTTGGACTACAGAGGTTAAAATGTTGTCACTTTACTTAAGCCCACATTTATTGTAACTCATTTCAAATATGATTTTTCTATGGCAATGCTTACTCAAATGTATTCAAATCTGTCAGGTTTTGGGGACTCCACTGGGGAACCTACAGAGGCCGGTCTGAGCACTGATGCCTTATACTTGTACAACTGGGTTAAGGCACGCAGTGGAAACAGCCTGGTGTGTGTGTGGGGGCACTCACTTGGTAGTGGGTGTGTATCTACTTCTTTATTGACTGTTGCTAAGTTTCTATAAATAAATGTAAAAAAAAAAAACAATAAAGACAATATATATATATATAATATGACTAAATAAAATACCAGTCTATGTATTTTCTACATATTCAGTATAACAGCTGTATGTTTATTTTTCAATAGAGTAACGACTAATGCTGCAGTGAAATTACTGGAGGAAGGTAAGAATTTGACTGATCGTATTTTATGCTCTTATTTGTCTCAATGTCTATTCAGTGTTTTTGTCTCGCTTTTTACTTTTTAGTTATCATTGTAGTATAGCATAGTAAGCTTCATGTAGCTTTATGTGAGGCTGAAACGCAGATCTAAATGCGAGGGATTTATTGAAAAAAACATGAACAAGGTAAGAACAGGATAACCAGGGAACACAGGTAGTACTAGAGACACAATATGTCAACAATAATAAATCATCGGCTGACAAAGAACAAGGGAAACGCAAGGGTTACAGTACGTACAAAAGGGGTAACAAGCTAAAAAGAAAACAATCAGGGAACTATCCAACATTAAAAACTACAAGAGACTAAGCAAGTAACACTAGTCTATAAACTGATAAGGAACAAGGGAATCACAAGGCCTATATCAGGGAATCAGCAATCAGGGAACTGATCAACATGAAAAACAAGGGACTACAAAAATGGCACAGAAATAGGAAGTAACACAAAAGTCAAAAGACATGGGGAACATAATTTACACACTTTATATATTTTAAAACATTTCTTGACTGCGAGATTGGAATGGTGTATTTTTCTTTATTTTGTATATATATAATTTTTCTTGATTAAAAAACTACACATTTATTGACAGGAAAACAGTTTGATGGAATAATACTTGAGGGTGCATTCCTAACCGGGGAAGTGGCACCTAATCAAATTTTTCAACACGCATTTTCCTGGGTAAGTAACGTTGAGGATCTTTTAAATCATGGAAAAACAACTGACAAATGAGTTTTAGATGTTTTCATTTTAGATATTTTTATGAGGTATTTTATTGATCAATTTTTTTCAATGTTTTTAAGACCTATATCTTTCACAACATTGTAATTGGGATTTTCTTACAAAGTAAAATGTACTTAAAACCTGAACAATTTAATTATGATGAAAATAAAGTTCATTCATACTTTACATGGACGAACCACACAAGATGATTATCATTATGAATGATATTATTATTAGATTAAGGTCATTAATCTGTTTGGTACCTCTCTCTTTTTTTCTCTCTAGTTTTATTGGAAATTCCCATACATTCAGTTCTTCCTTTTCAATCCACTTAAAAACAACATTGTGGTCTTTCCAACTAATAAGAAGTATGTGACATTGTTTCACTAAAGTAATTAATATATATTTAACAATATGAGTAGAAATGTGATTTGAATAGTATGCCAGTGTAATGTTAAATATGAAAATTTGTTGTAAAATTCGTATCTCGTTTTTCTCTTTTGATAGTTTGGAGAAAATAAGAACTCCTATTATGATTCTCCATGCGGAAGACGACCATTTAGTGCCATTCGCCAGTGCTCAAGAGGTTTGAGTTGATGTTAATTTACCTTAAAAAATAATTTGGAAGTACATATTTGCTTTAAATTACATTTATTCTGGTTCAGATTTACAGAATCGCAAAAAAGGCCCAGAAATCAGATGAGCGGGTCAAGCTGGTACCATTTGATGGATCATTTGGATATCTTCACAATGGTCTCTACAAAGACCCTGGTTTGCCAAATATCATAAGGTGATGTCATGTTTTATACATTTTTAAGACTTCAAAGAATTTTCATAGGAGATGCATGATACTAGGGGTAAAAACAACACTAGTAAAAGTAAAAACAGCTCTGGAGATTACTATTATGAGTAAGCTATGCGTTACTTTATATAATGTTGAACATACATCACTTAATGAAAGAAAATATTAGAAAATGGCAGCAAAATGCCTATGTTTATTATTACAGGGAGTTTGTGCAGTCGCTGAAGGTATGAGACAGACACACGAGTGGAAGGATTTACACCAAGAAGGAGCCAGCTAAAGCTGTAACTTGTTTTGTAACTGTACATTTTGAATTGTTGTAAACAATATGCATTTCTTTAATAAAAACATTGTAACGTCTGAGGTATATTTTACGAAAGGACCCCCCTTAGGGCGAATTAAGAAAATACATAAGAAAATACAATGCAGGAACTGTGTTAAAAAGCGCAATGAAATGTGCAATGACATTTTTTACTGAATGTATACCATTTTAGGGAATATCGACGTAAACACAAGGTAAACAACGGGGAAAGAAATCAAATGTGTGCATTAGTTCTTAAAGTGGCAGCAGCCAGGATACCTGCTGGTGTCTATCCTTAATATTATTCAAACAACAAGAGAAAATGAAAAAATCTCTTTCTGGACTTTGATTGAATAAATTTAGAAGCAATATTTAGCGCGACGTCACGTCCAGTGATGCGTCACAGCCCACCAAAATGGGAGTGGCCAAAAAAGAGGGGCTCGACAGGCTGAACTCTCGTTTACAATGACTGAAGCGAATAAGCTTGCGGCGCGAGCACGGCAGGTTACAGGCTCCAGGGCCCGTACACCCTGAAGATTAGTGATGGGCAGATCGAGGCTTTGTGAAGCAATGAAACAGTTGAAGCAAATGTGCTATATTGTTTCGAGGCTTCGAATCAATCCGACACCCGTCTCCATGGTGACACCTAGTGGTGAATTGCAGGTGTTGATCTGAAACAACCTTTACAACAATGTGTTTTTTTATTATTGTATTTTTTAAATATATGACGCTTGTAACCTGTAGTCTCTTCACATTGCATAATGTTATTTTGGTCATGAAAAATACTAATAAAACAAATCAAGCCACAATGTCTCACTTTCTTAAAGATTTTTATTTAAAAATATTAATTTCTCTTCTGTTCTTTCTATTAATCTGTCTATATTGTGCACACAGAATGCCTATTCTTAAAGTCTTGTACTGTTTTATGAAGGCAAAAAGCCATAGGGCCTATAATGGTTTCGATTTTAGTTCATTGGCAAAATATAACGCTAGAGACTATATAGCCTATATATATATATATATATATATATATATATATATATAGTCTTATAAGGAGCTCTAGACGGCAAGATCGTGTTCATGACCCCTTCTGGCAATGCAAATGGTATTAGTTGATTATCCACGCATGCAGAAACCAGCGCTCTGGATGGGGATGCCACACCGATCCACCGGCCTGAGAGAGGATCTCTCCTTACTGGGATCGGCGACAGCCTCACCAGATCTATCGAAAGGAATTATTCTGGCATTTATATTAATCTTTCCACATGTAAGCTTTTTTTATTTTTACAAAATAGACCCATCTACTCAGGTTATTGTTTTTCTAATGATTTGCATTTTGAATCCAAGAATTGTAGCCTATACACTTACAGCGCAATATAGTTCATTAATTCTATTGACTACATAACACGTTGGTCTGAATGATAAAAACAACACGAAATTCACATGCCATATATCTTAATCAAATTAATACATATTATGCTATATTTGACCACCTGTTTTAGTCATTTTCGGAACGCCAAACTAGATGGCGCGTTTAACGGCAAGCATTGATCATGCAGTTTGAATATAAAGTTTAGCCTAAAATAGCCTATAACCAGTCAATAAAATATTGTCCTAGACCATCAAGTATAGCAACTGAAAGACTTTACAAAAAGCCTTTCCCACTATTAAACATTGTTGACCTCATGTTCATTAATGTTAGTTTTGCATGCCGCTTAACTGCCGTCATTTTTATGTGCGAATATGATTCGTTTCTAAACTCTTGCTGCCAGATATGTTCGGAAAGAGTAGCATATTCTATTTTATTGATTTTAAAAATAGATTTGGTTCTGCGAGACTAAACTTATAAAAATGTATCATTATAAAAATGTTTTTTTATCATTAAACACGAGTTAAATTGCTGGCCTGGAAAAAAAATGTTCTTTTAGGCTAGCTACGCAATATGACTGTTATACATGCGTCGTTCAAATAAATCTATACATTAAATTCTTTCAAATAATCAGTTCTAGTGACAATTCCAGGACATTGATAGACGGCATTGGGTGGCAGATGCAGAGATCCGTGTCGCGTAAAAAGGGCATAACCCACATTCACAAGCAGCAGCCCTCCAGCTCGACGTCCGCGGAGTTTACACACGGTGACCCGTGGTCAAACTTCACAAAGCAGGTCTTAGCAAATATAAGGGTCTAATCTATTTAGGAGTTCATAACCTTTTGCGTGGGAATTTGAGGCTCCAATTGTGGGATTATTGGCCTTAATTGTGGATTTTCCACTAGAATGCAACAAAGACCTCTAACATAATTGTTTCTCTCTTTCTTTCTATTTTTTTCTGCATAATGGTATAATGCGAGCAAAAGTAAATCACCATCGCAGCGTGAAGAATCACGATCCAAAGCCCTAACATGAAACTAAGAACTCGCATTGATGAGGTTTACCGAGGATTACCTCTTATCAACGTGTGCGTGTGGTCTTTCCGACCCCGGTTAGAGCAAGTACGTCTTAAAAAAAATGTACCACCAAAAACTTTACTGAAAGAAAAAGAAAAAGGCCATCCTATTGGAGAGATTAGGTTCGATCATTTGTTTTACTTATTTGCCACAATAGACTGCAAAGTTAATTAACATAAGTCAATAGATTTTAGGGATCAAATTAATATTACTTGGTTTACTGATTTCTTAACATTTATGTGACACCTAGTGGCGGAAAAAAAAAAAAAAAAATTAAAATCCGATGCAAGTATCTTCTCAATCACAGATTCGTATTCCAGTCAGTTCCATTGAAGACAAAAAAAAACACGATATTGTCATCTGTATAATAACTGAAATTAGTCACTTAATGAGCAAATGACTTTATTAATAAAGTTTTTTTTCCATATTTCTAGAGGGCATACAACCACAGCATAAGCAGCAACTACAGCAAGGACACAGCTGTAAGGAAAACCTGATGATTTCATCTCAAAACCTCAGCACAACACCTCTGAGGTCATGTCTGCAAAAACGTTTGTTCTACAACACCCGCACCTCAAAGAAAAAAAAAAAAAAACGTCTACTTAATTTTGTGTGACCAATTTAATCCTCTAAGCATGCATAACAAAAAGGAATGAGCTACTTTTCAAATGTAAGTTGAAGTTTTTAAAAAGGGATGAAATATAAATTGCCATGTTTGAAAACCCACTGTAAGTGTAGTAATTCTATGGCAAAGCTTTATGCATTTCATGTTAATGTAAGCAGTGACCTGTACTGATTAGAGGACACATCAAGGCTTAGAACATCAAGCAAAAAAAAATTGATGCTTTAGTATTAGCGGCGGACAGTGGTCCAGCCATCATCATCCGTCTCGTTCTTGGTCCGACGCTGGATTTCCTTATCTTTGTCAGAGCGCCAGGTGCTCTTCTCACCGCCCTCACGGTCCCGTTCACGTGGTCTGGGAGGAGCATCTCTTTCCTCCTTGCGCTCCTCTCCACCACGACGCCATGAACCACCTTTGAATTAGGAGATAAAACTGACCTCTTAAATGTGCCCCAAGCACGTTTCACTGACAGGTCAATTTTTTTTTATACTGACACCTACTGTTGTGGATGTATTAAGTCTGACTTGTTTTATTTTTTTGCATCTGCCAAACCAGCAGTTTCACAGTAAATTTTTTGTCATCATTGCTATTAGTTACTCTGGTCACTCATGATACAACTCTATTAAACAGCTTTTTTGGGCCACTGATAAGAGTCTTCATCTCAGGCAGTGCATTTGAAATCAAATCTGTCAAAAAGTTCAAGTTCTTTTTTCAAACAGCTCTATTAAAGGTGTATTTAAGACAGATCATACGACTCTAACCTTCATCTTGGTCTCTTTGAGAGGCTCTAACGTCACGTTCACGGTCTCTGTCATCTCTGCGCCCCCCTAGGTCACGGCGTTCACCACGGTCAGAGTCTTCACGACGAGAATCACGCCAACTGCTCGGCTCATCACCACCTCTTCTCCAGACACTCGCTTCTTCCCTGCACATGCACAAACATTCATATTAAACATATTGGACTTTTAAATACAAAAAGCCTAAATACACTAAGAGTCTTATGCTGAAACATGCAAGACACAAACAAACACATGCCTATCTCCAAAAGCACTTAATCCTATGCAGTTTGCATAAAGATCTGGTAGAGGAGTTGATGATGCCACCTGTACCCTACTAAATATGATTTTAAGACATTTGGAAGGCAAAAAAAAATCATGTACGTTTGCCATTTATTGATTTTTCGTCTGCTTTTAATTGTTTTCAGCCTTTCACCTAGATTTATTTAGATTTAAACATTGTGTGTTGGCTGGTGGATTTTCTAACTTATAGATCCCAAAGAGTAAGTGTCCATGGAGTGTTGTCAAATGTATTGTTTAGGGGTGGGGGAATAATCGATTCCTAGATGCATCGCGATGCAGACGATTCTGAATCGATTTACAAATGTCAAAAATCAATAATAAAAAAAAAAATTTAGATACCGTAAAACTTAAAATAATAGCTGAGTCCCAAACAGACGCCTGTCTTGGTGTGGCTACAGGTTTGGGTAAATAAAAGCCGGTCTCAAATAGAGGGCAGGCCTGTTTTTTAGTTTCAGGTTGTTCATTTTCTAAAACCGTCAGTTCGTCCGATTTTTGACGGCCGTCAAAGCGAATTTTTGTCCCGCCAAAGCCTATTTTAATTGGTGAGTGATGTAGAATAGAATGACTGCCACACATGACAGGGCGCATAACAAGCAAAGAGAGAGAGATAGAGAGCGTCCTGGTCGCGCGCGCACTCTCACGTCTTCAATCATAGCCGCCTGCTATTTGGGGAATGAACCCAGCGCTACGACTGGCAGAACTCCGCTTATTTTGCTGTTGCAAAGAGGCGTCACCAGGTTTTTGCGTAGTTTAGAGTGACAAATCGTACCAGCATACTTTGAGGTCAAAATCCGTATCTGCTACACAAAATGCAAAAGGGTTGGCAGGTCTACATTTTATAAAATGTAAAGTTGCATGATATTTTCACCTGGGAGGATGGCGATCTCTAAATCCCTCAGTACGGTCATCTCCCTCACGCTCAACATCATCACGGTTAGTATCACGAGGAGGTGCCCAGCTTTCCTCCCGAGCCTTCTCTCGCTCTCTCCATCCACCTGCTAAAGGTTGCATAAAATAATTGTAAAAAAATAATAATAATTGAAACTGAACTGACCACAGTTAACAAATAGTAACTGTAAATTCCCAGATCAAACACACAATGGTTGAAGAGGTCATACCCACAAATATTAGTCAAGGATTTGCAAGGAACTGCTCCATCCTTCAATAACAGAAGACTGCATCACATTGATTTCCATTGTATAATGTAATAAATTAGATTCCTTGCGATATGACCCCTTTAACACAAATATTTGTAAATCTGAAAATATT